CTTACTCCATGTATGATCCATTAGGTTTTATCTTGCAAGACGGTGAGCAATTAGAACTCTTAGTAATTGATTGTGAATCGAAACCATCTTCTAATTCTCCTTTTAATGAAAATTAGTGATTGCAGATCCTCAAAACTTTCACAAGCCATCATTGACACCTAACAGTGTCATAGCTATAAAAGCTAACCAGAAGAAACGGAGAACCTATTTAGTTGGAATTACAATGCAATACGATCTTTCTCTAAAGCAATACTCTTGATCGATTGTTTGGTTGACAGTATATATACTTCTCTTATCTATATGATTCTCGTGAATGTAATTTGGGATGTTACTCCCTAAATCATATTCGTGTGCTCTGGATAAATACTCTTGCCTTGAAAGTTAGAGATCCTTTGTTGTACACTCACATACCTTTGTGGACGAGTCAATGATCCTAACAATACTAGGAATATGCCTTAGGTGGAGTCGGGTCTTATTGCATTGTCAAATGATCAAAGAGTTGGGTTGTGCCTAAGTGTGGTGGGTGACGTAAAGCATAAATAACCATATTAACATGCATGGTTAGCGGAACATTGGATTTTGTTTAATCATATTAAATTAATCCATGTGATCTTAGTTAATCAACGTTCTTGTATACAGAACAATCCCATAAGCTTGTAGGATTACAAAAATAATCCTCCACCACCGCCGTATATATGGTGCAATCTTTATGAGTATTTTCCTTGGGTTTGCCACACCTCCCTATCTAATTGGGCTTCCCCAGTTTGCTCTTATTTAATTTAATTTAATTAATCTAGTATTTTCTTTTGATTGGGATTCGTTATTTTATTTTAGCCCGAGTCACTTATAATAAATAGATAGCCCAAACCAAATAATTAAATATCAAATAGAATATTTAAAATAAACTATTTATAATAAAATTAGTCTTCACCTGTTTTATCCAACAATGTCATTCTCTTGTGTGTGACCTTTTAGGTGCCGAATACCAAATAAGCTGGCAATAGATAATTTGATTAATCAAATTAATCTAACTTTACATAATTAGAAACCAATATAATTTAACCTTATATGGATATCCATAAATGAATAGTAACATCTAGTACTGGTTATCAACTACCTAGATTAGTCAAAATATGTTTGAATTAATACAACATGTATTTTGGCATTAATGTCGATGACTTGACACTGGGTTACCATAACTAACCAATTATGTGTTGTCACATCAAATGCTTTTCAGGCATACTCATATACAAAGACGAATCCACAAAATAAATGTGGTGTCTTTGGTCAAAAGATTACTTTATATTAGCCCAAACTATCGGGTTCTCATATGACATGAATATGAAACATTTTATTTGATTGTATTCAGTGAACTCATTCTCTGTTGAGCACCTACATACTTTTCTTGGTGCTTTCATTCACTGACTCAAGATAAACACTTTTAAAGAGGGAAGACATAATATGTATTGATATTATCGGCTTAATTTTTGAAATGCCCCCGAAACTCAACAACTCTGGACTTATCGTGCTCCACAGGCTCATTAGTGATGCCACCATCATCCTATTTAGGATAGTGGGCGATGTTTGTCGACTTCGCTGAGATTGATCATTCTTGTTCCGTAAGATACGGAAACCTGATCCAGTATGGAATCAACCTAAGACGATGAATATCTACTCCTAGATATCATCTGAGATTCTCCCAGTTTATACGGATTCTATATCTTACAAGGTCTCTCTGTTGACTAGTATAAATACACTTTTTTAGGGTTCGTCTCTGGTAACACAATTATCGCATACTATTCTCTTACCAGCTAATTGAGTCCCACAAACAGCTTACTAACTTGACCATCGAAGAACCTTTGGCCAACAATCTACTGGTGCCAAGGTTTTCTTACGATTGTTTATTATTTTACATGTAGTTAAACTTGTGTATCTCCTCTTCACACGGTGGTTGGCGAATTTGGTTCAAACAATTGGTGATTTCATTAAGAGTGAACTCATATTCCCCCGATCAAGTCACTCTATCACAATCATGTATGCCAAAGAAAGCTCAGTTAACACCAACATTAACAGCTTAAAGAAAAACAATCCACTTTCGATGCCTCTGTTACCCCAAGCATGAGCAGCCTGACGCCAAACGCCTTAGCCATCCTAGGGAACAACGATGCTCCCGCTGCTTGAACAACCTCCACCATGGATCATATATATGAGACCTTACAAAAGATTAACGCCTCTGTTGACGAGTTGTAGAAGACTTATATGGCTTCTCGAGCGAAGAACCATGCAAACTTTATGGGCATCAATAGACGGATGAAAGCCTTGAAGAAATCAGTGGGACAACACCAAAAACCCAGGTTTCCATCTTCAGCTATAGGAATTTAAGCACCATAACTCTATAAGAACAACCAATTGCATTGACATCCGTTCTGAGTCTAGTAGAAATTGATGATCTGAACACGAGTGTGGAACAATGTAACCGCTAAATCGTCAATCGTGCCTCTGTAGGCAAGGTTCGAGTGTGATGCGACTTCGGTCTTTTGGACATTGTGTGAGCACTCTGCATGGAACCTCGACATTTGAACTTTGACAATCCATAGTCATTAAGATAACAAGAGTGACGTTAACCGTTAAATTGTGACGACCTTAGAGATGCACTGAGAGACATTCAGAATCGCCACCCAAGCAAGGTTGCTAAAATCAAAAGCCCTTTTTTTTTTCAATAATTGAATTGGCACCTCCTTCAGAGAAGTTCTCTCAACCAAAGTTCAAATACTTATGCAGAGACTCCTACCCACATCATGCACTATGAGAGTGATATGGTTCTGTATGGCCACAACGATGCATCAATGTGCAAGATGTTCCTATCCACCTTGGAGGGACCTATCATGAAATGGTTCTTGGAATTACCGACTTGCTCCATCGATTGCTTCAAAAGCCTCGCTAACATCTTCATGAATACCTACTTGGTCTATCGTGATGTTCGCAAGCGCCACGATGCCATTTTCAGCATTATCGTTAAACCTAAGAATGAAAGCCTTAAAGCATACTTAAAGCGATTCCGTGTGAAATTAGCTAAGGTCAAAAAGCAGGATGACATGCTTGCTACAATAGGCTTTAAGCAGGGACTCTATGGCCACTCGCATCTCTCCTAAAATCTGAACAAAATGAAACATGACTACACCACCCTGGCGGAGTTCTTTGATCGCACTGCTAACTTCACCGATTGGGTATAAAACCCGAAAGAAGAGCTCTAATTTGGATCACAACAAGAGATCTGACCGAAGATGAGATGTCTAAGACACCCTGCTTTCATCTTCTTGTTGGAATGACATGACTCAAGGATAGGCAAGCTCCACCCAAGCCAAATCAATACACAACCTTGAACACTACTATCAACATTGTCCTTCATAGCATCAAACACAAACCTTTCCTCAAAATGCCTAAACCTCTTCCTGACCATTTGGCCAAGAAAAAGCCAAATGAGTACTGTTCCTTCCACCAGTGCACTGGTCACTCTACAGGGAACTATCGCACATTCATGGACTATTATTGAGGAGTTACTCAATCAGGGGCATTGCTAAGAGTTCTTCAAAAGCAAAGCTAGGAAAGAGGATCTTGCTTAAAAAAAAAAGAATCAAGGTAAGTTCGATCGACATGAGCTCACAATGAAGAGGAATATTGGTGCCTGGCAAAGATGCATACCCTCATCATTAATTGCATCTGCGGAGGACATGAGACACCTGAAGAGAAAAGAGCTTGAAGCCAACACATAGGAGGGGAACTCGGTTACCCTAAGGTGGAACATCCTCAAACATCACCGATATCACTAAATATCCCCTAACGACTACACGTGGTTTGATTCTTTGATGACATGAGAAGATATGTAAGCCATCCATTGAGGATTCAACCACAATTAATTTCAACGTCTCCCGTCTACGCGTACGTTGGGAGAAACATCTCTGGAGTCTGCCTAAGTCAAGGCACCTTTTTGTCAAATATGACCCCCGATGTAAAACATACATTGTATCATCTTTTATTAGAACACACCAATGGTTTGATTCTCTTTCCCAATATATGTAGGCAATCAAATTCAGATTCAATCACAACCCCTATCATACCTGTTGGAAATGTGCCATAAAGCTAATCATAAGATGATATTTTATGAACGTTTCATATATTAAACCAATCTAGTTTAATGTAAGGGCAAATATTATTATTTAAGTCATCTCATTAAATGTTATACGATTAAACGATAAGTCCAAGAAATATATAATTACGAGAATATGGTCTAAATAAGTTATATTCAGGAGACCTTTCTCTTTCATACACATATCCTAAACATTCCTAATCATAAGGCTTCCAATTAGGCATTAACGATCTAGATGGATCAATACATGCTATGTCTTCTCTCCCAAGAGAGTGATTGGTCTTGAGTCATCATCATTTGTGCCCTATGAACACCACGTCAGCAAATTTGACCAAATAGACATAATCTAGATAAAATGAAATGAAAATATAGTTACATGGGTTATTGCAAAAATAAGCTTTTAACTAACGTTAACCAACTTATACTAACTAGATAAATTATAACTTGTATGACAAAGTATATCGTTATTGTGTTGCTTCGTGACAATTATGTAAATGCCATACAATGAGAAAGTTACACTTATCATGTTGTGTTATTGGGACATGGATCATCTTTGGATTTAGTTGTCCTAATCCACCTAGTCAAATCATCCGGGTTAATGAAATTTGATCTAAAGGCTAAAGTTATTATAAATTTTATAGTAAGTCCTTGTTTATAGCCGTTAGATCAAATTTCAATAACTTGTATGATTTGACTAGGTAAATTAGAACAACTGGATCCGGAGAGGATCCATGTCCGTGTTATTGATGCAAACACCACAATAATAATTCATTTGTATAATTGGAACGAGCACTACAATTACGATGTACGAGTACGATGAAAGTTTGTGTTAGTAGTGTAGTGGCCACTGCAACACCCGACACAAGAGTACTTCAACGAAAGCGCGAACTATTTTCCCAAATTTCAGCTTTTCCCGCCTAAATCCCCGCTCTCTTTCCCTCTCTAACTTTTGTTTTTCCCTCATTTTTCTGTCTACAACAACAACAAGCACTTCCCTCTCTTTTTCTCTCTCTCTCGTCAAATCTCAATGCATACAATTCTTCTTCCTTTGTTAAAAGATTCTTTTCTCTAGAAACAATGCCGGACCTCGGAATCGTTTCTCTCTCAGCTTCTCTAACCCTCACTACCTGCCCTAACTTCAAATCGCTCACTGAACCACCGGATCAGGGCTCGGTCAAAACCCTAGGCGTTGACTGCGATTGGGACCGGGGGCTCAGGCTCCCGACTTTGCACAATGGCGAGGTCAGCAATGGTCCTGCAATCAGGGTTTTCCGGCGGAGCCGCCCCTTGGCGGGCCCGTCCAAGAAGGCCTCCAACGGCAAGAGTTTAGAGGATCATGTAAGGGACTGGGTTAGCACAAGAGTGGAATTGGGCATTCCTGAATCCCGGTGCTCGTTGCCGTTTCTTTACGGCGCAAAGAAATTGGTACGTTTTTCTTGTGCTTTTGCGTTTCCGTTTTGTTGCTGAGAAAATGGGGGAAGACAAGTAATAAAATCATGATTTCCAATCTTTTTGCTTTCTGAGAAATTCTGATCTTTTGGATCAGTTAGGTTGATAAGGGATTACATTGCATAGTGAATCTTTTTTTCTGATCAAGATTGTTTGCTGCAATTAATTTCAATTTGTGCGGCAGTTATAAAGATTGATAGTTGAGTATGACATTTTGAATTCTAAAATTGAATATCCTTTTCTCTTTAAACGTCATTCGGAAATATTGGATTTCGATTTTTGGCTTATTGGCTCAAGAATAATTGTTGATTCATAGGACAGAAAGATGGCGGTGATGGTCTTCCAAAGCTGTTTTAAGTGAGAGATGCTAATTTTATAAAAGGAGTCAGGATTTTTGGTCAGTTGAAGAGTTGGAACATAAGGAAACTCTTTAGTTAAATTATGCCTCTTTCCGTATGTTTAAGTTTGCTTTCATTTGCTTTAGGTGGGTGCGGTTGGAGTGGATATCTAAGTTGAGTATAGTGGTTTTACAAAATGTTGAGTTTCTTTATACAATGTTAGTTAGTGAACAAGTTTTCCTTTAATAGATGTATGGAAAGCCTTAATAACTGAAAGTATTGATTGCTCGTTGACTTATTCTTTCAAGGCGGAAGCTTATGTGTTTGTAACATGAAAGAAAAATAAATTTGTTTCAAGAGATATTTGCTCCAACAGTGTCGTCTAGATGATTTTCATAGACTTCTAAGTAGAGATTCTGATATGTTGCGTTTCTTGTATTTTTGCTTCTTTATGTTTCACTCACAAAGTGTACTTAGTTTTTTTTTCTTGCGCTCTTGCTTTTGGATTTATTCCAGGTTGAATGTCTTGTTTGCCATAAATTTGCCTACCCCGGGGAAGTGGTCTCATGCTCTGTTCGTGGTTGTCAAGGAGTCTATCACAGGAAATGTGTGAAGGATAGGTTTGGGATCTCTTTGAAAAAATTCAAGTGTCAGCAACATGTAAGATCTTTATAAGAACAATCATAATATCGTTTTTTCCGTGCCATGCTATTTTAATTTCAAAATGTTGAAAATGCAAAGGGAAATTCTACAATAAACCATATTATGTCAACAATTGGCAAAACAGCTTCTTATTTTATTCCGAGAGAGAACTGTGGACATCCTGTGCTTCATTGATTATGATGCAATCATTACAATGGCTATACTGATTACTAGGGTGCTGGCCTAGGCTATTGACTTGTAGAGTCTATCCATCTTGTACTAGTAACTGGGACTGAGAGATCATTATATTAGTCCTCCAGTCAGTGGAAATCATCTTTCTCTTTGTTGGTTGGATCAGCGCAAGTTACATTCATATGTAAATGTTAATATTAGTAGTGATCGCATTAAAATTTAAATTTGCTGTAGGTTACGCTGGAATTTAGTAGTGATCGCATAAAAACATTTTAGGAATTATGCTTATAATGGATTAACTTTTGCACTATTCAAGCAGAATTTAAGGAGTTGTAATAAATTCTGATTGTGTCTATTTCTTATATCCTTCTTCATAACTTTCTAAATCCTGTTGGACTTTTATAAAACAAAAATGTCATAATATGTCTATATCTTTTGAATTGAACTTGCACAATCTCTTACATGAGTTGCAAACGAGCAGGCATGCTTCATTTGCAAACAGAGGGTAGATTGGAGGTGTGTGCGATGCAGTATTGCCTCACATGATAAATGTGCAGCATGGCCAGATGAAGTGATTTACTTGAAAGACCGGCCAGGGAAAGCTGTTTGTTGGAGGCATCCTACAGATTGGCGGGAGGATAGGAAGGTCAATTTCTTCTTTCCTTCATCAGTAATTTCTATTTTTGTTTACCCTTGGATAAGTAGATGGGTTCTTCACCATACCTGACATACAGTTTATCTTTTGATTGTTATGTCTTGCAAAATCTATGGGGTCCACATGAGGATTTTATTCATGACTTGTATCATAATGCAACTCAGTCAGAGGTTCAGAGGTCATGCTTCATGTTTGCTTGTTTGTTTAAAATGAGTTGTCACTTTCATATTAAGAGTTGCCAGTGAAGTATATTTGAAGAAAAACTGGACCTGAAATAGCGATAATTGTGATGGACACTGGTGTTTCCCATGAAATGCAGATATTGTGTGATTAAAGTAAGCAATTACGGGAAGATTTTAACGTATGCTGGTGACTTGATCTTTCTTTAAAGTATTCGCTAAACGTTGTGCCCGTACACAGGAAATTACAGTAATGGAAGGCACTAAGGCTACATCAATTGTAGCCATCCAGTATAAAAAGGAAAATAATGAAAAAGAAAGAATTATGTTTCCGTTGTACTTAAGGTGTCGCTGAAGTTCCTTAAGTTTTCAATTTAACATCTAAAACTCTTCCTCCCCCTCTAGGAACAGTACAAGTCAGCTATGTCAGTTGCACATGGTATACCCTCTAAGTTTGCGGGTGTACGTAAGCCTTATTCTTGTGAAGTTGGCTGTTGTACCACGTCCTTATTTTGGTGTATGAACTTCTTGTCTTAATTGATTCCTTGAATTTGAACATGCGGCCCGATTTTGTTCTTATTTAGTATGTGATTGTGCAGTTTTTCAGAGGGAATCAAATGTTTTTGGGGCTGGCTAATACGGTTTTGAGTTTATTAGACCAGCATAGAATATCTTATATTTTTGTTGAGGCTTTAGTTCGTCATTTGTATTTTTCATTGATTAGGCTGGTTGACAGGACTAATCTGTTTGTTGATGAGCAGCATGCGGCTTCGATAAGCAGTATAGAGGTCAGTCTTATGAAGAACTTGTTAATTTTTATTGTATATCATGTTAAGTAACATCCACATGAACAAATATGTGAAGTACTCATGTCAGTCATTACGTTGCATCAGTTATTCTATGCAATATGTCCAGCATGGTTGGTGACAAAAAATGGTAAACATATGTTGTTGCATCAGTACAGCAGATAGAAATTGTTGGGTCACCTTGAAACAGCTTGTTTTCTTTGTTTTTTGTTTTTTGTCTGTAGAGCTTAAATCTAATACCTAGTGCCCATCAGCAACCCCATGAACCCAATTGCAACTTAATGCTTTCAGATTGTTTTGGTCCATCAACTTTTTCCCCTTCAAAGGATCTTCATTTTATTTTATTTTTGGCTTGTTAAAGCTTTCAAAAGACCCTGGCCATGCCTGTGGGTAAGGGGATTCAGCCATCTAAGTGTCATCCTTGGGGACTGAATAAGATCTTAAAATTCAGTTCTTCAGAAAGTTCCGTAAGTGTTTCCTACTTGTACAATTTGTTTTTGTTGATTGGATTAACTGAAATTTCTGTAGTTCTAGCTTGTGTAAACCTTACTATAAAGCTCCCTTTGCAATTATATCTACATCTTAGAATAAAGTTTAAGTGAAACTCAAAAAAGGTCTTCGCCAGTTCCACTGCTATAATTTTGATTACTAACATGATATACACCACTGATTGACTTTCTCTTGAAAATATAGGAGGTATTCTGTCGCTTGCCTCTGCCTTACACTGCTGAGGAGTTCAAGATTGACTTAGCTTGGAAAGACACAGATATTAAAATAGAGCCACCTCCATATTTGCACATCAGGCGTAGTATCCTATGTTATAAATACTCTTTGTTACATTAGTCAATTACTTGAGGTTGTTAAAGTTTCACATTTACACATATACATGCAATTTTCTAAGGAAAAATGATGAATAGTGGGTATTTGTTTCTTGATGAGAAACATCTGTTATTATGTTTTGGCTTGTAATTTTGTTTATTTAAAACTACTTGTCAATTTATATCACAACTAGCATGACACCTCTCTTGACTGTAGTTAGATATTTACCTAGTCAAGAAAAAGCGCGATAATGTTGGTGATGATGTTGGATGCACATGCATTTCCAGCTGCTCTCAGGATTGTGTTTGCAGGTATTATGAATTGTCTTACATATTGTGACTGATGAAGTTGACTTTTGAGTTGTGACGTGGTACAACTGTTTGGTGTATGATTTGTCAACATTGTACTCTTTTTTTAAAGTATTCATCATAACCTTTGGCATATTCGAACTGGAGTACCTGATATTTCACCCATGCTGTGTTTGGATGAGGAATCTGAACTTAGGAATGCACTACAAAAATAAAAAGCGGAACATGCAAATGACTTGACGCAATACATTTGAGGGAAATATGTCATTTGAAAGTCTTATGTTTAGTGTTTTGGTAGTGCATTTTAGTACTTGATTAGTAGCTAGTGCGAGTGTAGTTCACCGCTAGTCTCTATAAGGTGCATTTTCAACAACTGAGTCCAATTAAAGTCAATGGAAGTCCCTCATCGAGTCGTACTATCGAGTATTGCACAGTTAATGTTCACTGTTCATTTGAAAATTCTATGCATTTAAACTGAGATTTTCATGGATACCTCAGCCCTATTTGTGACATTATGAATAATCTAATAGGGGTCAATGCATAAGCTGCTCAAAGGATTGCCATTGCTCAGAAAATTGTACAAACCGACCATTTCGCAAGGAGAAGAGGATTAAAATCGTCAAGGTGATAAAAGTAGTTTAAAAGAGCATGATTTCAACCCCCTATTTTCTTTAAGTCGAGTTTATTATTTATTTGTGGTTTAATCTTGTGTTTAAGCAGATTTTTTCCTCTGTAATGCTCTTTGCAAAAGTAATGCTTAATTTTGTCTCAGACTGAACACTGCGGTTGGGGAGCAGAGGCAGCAGAATCTGTTAAGAAAGGGGATTTTATAATTGAGTATGTTGGGGAAGGTAGTTCTCATCTCTTTACATTATCTTAGCTTATATTGTAACAATAACTTTGAAGCCTGGATTGTGTTCATTTTCTCTTTTCTTTGATTTTCAAGTTTCCTATGCTATTTTTAGGAAATAAAAAAATATAAATGAACGAAATCAACAACGGAATTTTCTGTAGTTTTGCAGCTACGGAATTTTCTGTTTTCCCTCATTAGGGCACTAGTCCACCAAAGAAGGAGAAATCGATGGTATCCATGTGCAGTTAAAATATCCAGTTTTGGGCCCTAGTAAAATCTAGTAAACTGTATTTTTTTAAAATATTACTGTACTCGAGCTTAATTGACTATTATATGGACATAAAAAATAATATAAAAAAAATGTGTCTCTTGATTTTGCTCTAAATTAAAATTTCAATGGCTCTAGTTGGGTAATTCAATGATGTTTTCCCCTTGTCCTACAAGCCATCAAAATAAAAAATTGTTCTCTGTTTCAGTTATTGATGATGCTTTGTGTGAAAAAAGGCTTTGGGATATGAAGTATAAAGAGGTGAACAATTTCTATATGTGTGAAATTCGAAAAGACTTCACAATTGATGCAACCTTCAAAGGAAATCCATCACGATTTTTAAACCACAGCTGTGATCCCAACTGTGTCCTTGAAAAGTGGTTAGTATGTTTTTTACATTACTAGCTCTGAAATTTGTATTGCTCTGGAGTTTTCCGACATAGTTCACTTGTGCATTCTGTTAGGATTATGGTTCAGTTTCTCTTCGAATATTCTTTAGCCTGGGATCTGGTGATTTTATATGGATACATCAAAAGTACTGTGTTATTAGCCAGCTCTCATGGTAATTTTACACAAATATATATATACAGGGGTCCTATAAGATTCTTGTACATGCATTGAACAAGATTTATGGACTTGAAAAAGAGCCAACGTGTTTTATGTAGCACAGTTGTTGGTAAAGAGTTGCTTTATTAGTTGATTTTGATAAGATTTTTTGTGTTCAGTTGTCAATTATAGCCTATAGGGTTCAAATTTGTGGTTCTTGATTTATGGGTGGCAGACATATTAGCTATCTGGGCACTCAAGAATTAAAAATGATCCAGTTGAGCAATTCTTTAGTTGTTATAGCGGTCTCTATCAGTTATAGAATTTATTGGCATTACAATTGAATTCCTTGTCTTCTCATTAGGAATACCTTTCAACCGCTCCCATCAATATTTTAAGTTGTTCTTTTGCAGGCAAGTTGAGGGTGAAACGCGTGTGGGGGTGTTTGCTGCACGATCAATACAAGTTGGAGAGCCATTAACATACGATTATAGGTACCTCCTAATCTAACTTGTAGCAAGTTATAGTTTAATTAATGTTCCACATGACATAATATTTTGTTTTCCATGTTTATTAGATTGGAAATCTCTATTCCACATGACACCTCAATATTTTATTTTTCCATGTTTATTAGATTGGAAATTTTTATGTTGGGGCTGGGTGACCTTAGAACCAGAAGTGGTAGCTCATGTCAAAATATGAAAGGGGTTGCAAATGAAAACTCTTGATCCAAAATCAGCTAGGCTAGGTTGCTGGTTTGTTTTCTATAGAAATGCTTACTTTTGCAGTAAAAGAAGTGTATGTGGAAGTCTGTTGTCTACACAGGCGTGCGTGCCAAAAATGGTCGGTTATTATATAAAAAATGTCGTACCCAGTGCACAAGGCTCCCGTTTTACGCAGGGTCTGGGAGAGGTGAATGTCGGCTAGCCTTACCCCCATTTATGGAGAGGCTGCTCTCAAGTCTCGAACCCGAGACCTACCGCTCATGGGCGAAGGCACTTGCCATCGCACCAAGTGCGACCTCTCCAAATTAACTGATAAAGTGCTAAAACACCTTCGGTTGTCTTTATTTTTCAAGACAATTTTATTTAATCTCAATTTCTTCATTATTAAGGTACGTCAAATGTTCCTTGGGTGTAATTATGTATGGGTATCTTTATAATCATCCGCATATCAACCTACTGATTGCTTAACTAAACAAAAAATCCCTCCAGGAATCCAGAAACTAGGTCACGTTTGGTAACTTCTCGTCTTGATAAGTACCCCAATATTTATTGTGTCATTGATTGGTCGTCATATATGAACTTAAAAGAATGTCTGAGCTTTTATTGGGAACCTTCTGCTGACACTTTGCAAGGGTACAACTGTTGTAAGAGAAATTTTTATTTTCTATTGCTCCATAAAACGATAATTCTGCTACTTGTAAACTTGGTTGAGTTCCTGTTTAACTCATTTTTCAAATCACTTGACTTCTTTTTGGGTGTCTTTCCATTTGACGTTGAAGCTTTGAGTTTTTTGAAAAATGGGGGAAGGGGAAAAACTTATATATGGATGCAGATTATGATCTAACTGAGTATAACGTAGAACACTAGTTCCTCATATTTTGTATTTGAATGACTTTTGTAGATTTGTGCAATTTGGACCTGAGGTGGAGTGCCGTTGCGGTGCTCCAAATTGTCAACGCTTCCTTGGGACCAAGAGAAAGATGGGTAAGGTGGAACTTTGCTGGGGTTCAAAACGCAAGAGAACATCAACAGCCTGCATAGCTATCATTACCGGATGATTAGTATCAAACTAAGAGAAATGTGGGCTAATAGAAATGCAGAAGGCAAAAAGAAAAACAAAATAGAGAAAAAATTACAGAAAATCCTGTGCAGCAGCAGCAGCACTTTTATTTGCTGTATGATTGCATCTAATTGAATTTTGCCCTTGTTGGGATGTGTACTTTCATTAGACCACAATAAGAGAGTTGACGTGTTTGTTCCACACGCCAAACTTAATCACTGATTATGGAAATTTATTGCTCTGTATGGTATAGAAGATTGGGTAAGTCGCTGTGTTTTTCAGGTATTATTTAATACATTAGGGCAGGCAGCAAATAACAGATATGTATTAAATAGTACTATCCAGTGTATAATACATGTCAAAAAAAGCCAAAATCTGGTTTAGGATTGCTTTTGTTAGGGCTAGGTTCGGTTCAATTACCAAACTTAAACCCTAAAATCAAATATCAAATTCGATATTGGTATTGATTTACCCAAAAAAAAAGTAAATTTTATTAAATTCTAATAAAGACGTTCACATCTTCTAAGAATATTAAAAGGAAATTCAGGAACATAAGCATCTCATCAAGACAAACCACCACACGAGATAGCATAGGAAGCCACTACATGGGCAGCGAGGTTGCCACTACACTGAACATACATAAACTTCACCATCCCTAATCTGAGACACCAAATTCTTAATATAAAAAATGAAACATTCCAAGGTTGCATCAATTGAGCATTCCCTATCTATCATGTTGATAATAGATAGAGCATCAGACTCTATCTCTACCATCTCATAATGCGTGTCCCTACACATCTCCAAAGTTGCACGAATTGCGGCCGCTTCCACCGCAGTTGCATCATTGAAAAACTCGCCTCCCACCCCACCAGCCACCGTAGTTGCATCATTGAAAAACTCGCCTCCCACCCCACCAGCCAACTTCAAAAGAACTGCAAAATCTCTCACCACCCACCCATAGCCACCTAACATCGATATCCCCCGCCATGCCCCATCATAATTAATCTTCGAAGTCCCAAAACTAGGATGTTGCCATCGAACTTTTTGCCCAACAAAAATCGACGTTGAAGGTTTCCCGCAGCACTTTTTCGCCCTTGTCTTTTCCGGCTGGGCATCTCTAAACTCTTGAATATGGCGTCGTGATAAATCGATTGCATCCTTTGGAGTTTTATACTTACCTTCAAAAGCCAATTCATTCCAACATTTCCATATTCTCCAAAGGCCAAAAACTTCCTGTAGCAGCTCGTCTCTTACCGCTTCATCCTTAAACCGTGCTTCAATCTTCTTCCAACCTGCCAGAAAATCCACCCCGTTAACGGCATCCACATCAATCTGTAAAGGGCAGCAGTGTTGGAAATTATATATTATAGTATAAAATATTGTAATATATAATTTTAATAATTGAATGAAAAATAGTGTTAACCATATTTTTTAGAAATGTTATGTTATTTAGGTGCATTCCCTTGTCAAATGATATATACATAAATAGATGAAAAGTTATACCTCTTTAACAAAAAGTACTTGGGTTCTATATAAATCCACGAAACCATTATCATTAAGAATAGAAAATTAGAGTTAATTTTTACTTTTGAGCAATAAGGTTTCCCCACTTTGTTTCTCAAATGATTCGTGTGTCAAATTCCGAGTCGTGTCTTGAGAATACGGAATGTATAAAGTTCGCCAGAGTCCGAAGATTGAAGTGCTTTGACTTCGGATTATAGATTGTTGAATCCTGGGAGATGGACGCCTATCGAACTACAAGCACAAGAGTAGGGGCGAAATTCTATCTTTAGGACATTACATTTATGCAAGCCTCAATCTCCAAGTTTGTCAGTTTTTTTAACTTTATCTCTAGTTGTTAATATTAATCTCATATATAATTGATGTTGTAAATTTCTTTATGATTATTATCATTGGAATTATATTGTTATTTTTCATATTTTCTAATATTGCTCCAATAATCTAAAGATATAATTTTTTTTTGACCTCTATGGAACAATTAGAAATATGAATGTGTGTGCGCAATTTATGTGACAGATTTGGGAAAAGTCGAATTACTTGACAGTTGACATGTATAAATTTGATATTGAAAGTGCAGTACCGCTGCCTTATACTGCACATTCTTGATGAATGATTATGCTGTCCATTTGTGTGTCTATATATATATATATATATTTAACATGGCATTAGGTTGTTATAATTGCAATTTGTCATGTCTAATGCAAAATGTAATGTGTCTTTTGCGAACATTGATGTGATCGTTCTTATTTCTGAAAGCATGCCTGAAGCGGTGCATTCGGTTACTTTACTAAAATACTTACTGCCATGTTATTTATTTAATTATATGAATGTTTTGTTAACTGACGTTAATAGTTGCTAGACTCATATTTAGATTGACATGGACGATGCATGCCTTGATTTGGTTGTTGCATTCATGTGTGAAGAGCCCTGGGATTGGATTCATTGGTTGTTCTTTAAAATACATGTAGTATACATCCCGTAACATCTGCCCAATTGGAAATTTCAAAAAAAGAGCAATGGTGAGACTGCGACTTCCTTGCTTGACGGTTTGATATCCATTTGAGTTAAGGATCTTGGATCATATAGAACCATGTGGAGGTTAACCTTGGATCATTTAGAGCCATGTGGCGGTTAAGTTGCAAAAGGATGCAACTATTTGACAAATCAATGGTTTCATAATGTGGTGGAACAGACAACTGGAATCTCCCATGTGAGATTCAAAGAAAAAGCATGCCATTTGAAGTGCTACTTTTGACAGTAAAAGGGTATGACCTTTCAACTAGTCATTGACATTTTCAAATGTGTTCATGGGCTGGTATGTAAACTTCTACTCTCATAACCAGTCCATGCATAAAGTTCCTTTCGCAGAAAGGAATGACATCTGTTCTTCAATCTTAAGAATTCCTGGAAAATATGTGAGATATCTTCACTCATTGAGGAATTCAAAAACCACAAACAGTTCATGATGAATTATCTAGTGTATTCTCATACCAATTGGTGGAAAGGTTGTTTATACTGTAAACAATGTGTTTTTTGCAGTAAAATTAATTTTTGTGATTTTGCACTAAGAAGGATTCATCATCAGTTTTTATTGAGGAAACCTAATGATCGTAAAGAGGCAAAATGTAATCCATTTGGACATTGGGGTTGAAGAACCTAATGATATAGTTTCTCACAATTACCAAATGGTGTTTGAGGTTGTTAAAAGGATGCACCACTTGGCATGATTTGACTAAGAAGGCACTATAGAACTTGGTGCCATAGATCACAAAGATGTAACTTTGTAGTGCCAAGAATGACTATAGCCTATGCTTCTTTCAAGACAAGTTATGTCATGGCAACTACAAACCGAGTGCCATAAGTCAAGAGTATAAATTACTTGAGAAATCCAGAATTCATTTGAGATGAATTAATTAACATTGTCTTGGAAAGATGACGATTGAATTGTGGGGGACCGAGGCAAAAAGGGAGATAACATTCTTGTATGGGGGTTTGAGACTCGTGACAATTTTGACAGCTTATAAGTTAAAGGATGAAGGCCAATTAGTGCTTTTTCCAAAAACGGCTAGTAAGGCATTAAGGCCCTAATTATATGAAGATATAGTCTTCATTGCCTCCTACTTCTTAAAGTATGAAAAATGATCAATTGAGTGATACCATTAAAAGCAACCACAATTATGAAAGAATTGTGGGGTTTGGTTAAAAGTAATTTGCTAATTGAACAACATTCAAGATGTCATCTCTTGTAATGAGTAATTGTTTAAGGTATGGCAAGGTTAGAGACCTTCTTACAAATACCTTAAATGTGGGGGAAATCTATTTCCAAGTGTTAGCAAATTATTGAATAAGTCCTAACCTATGTTTCGAGGACTTAACATTGGAAAACAACTACTCTCATATGAAATATAATTTCATATGATGGATTGTGTACAACATTAAGTCAAGGTTAGAAGTGGATCCAATTATTCAAGGTTAGATTAGAGAGTAAGTTGATCATCAAGGGGAATGAGGCTAAAGCCAACATAACTAATGAATCAACCAGGCAGAAACCTAACTTAGTTGATTGGTGATCCCATGGTCTAAGTTCAATAGGCAAACTGGTTGGGCATGATTCAAAGAAGTTAACACACTACATACCTCATTCCTATGATAGAAGAAGTGTGTTGTCTGCAGAAGTTTCAGGGTGTATATTTGTACTTAATGACAGTGATATCGTATAAATAAGAGGAATAAAGCAGACTATTCTTAATCAGTGGTCACCTATGTGAGAGTAGAAGTGGGTTGCTTCTATGAGAATGAGATGGCTAAATTCTCTAAAGCTCTCATGAATCCGGGATTTATTCAGGACCAAAATGAACACAACCGTATGAACCGTAAAATATTAGGATTAGTGATGTGTGCTGCTTATTGTCTCGGTTTACTGCTGCGGTGAACAGTTCAAGATCTTCTAAATGCACTGCATCACCAAGTAAACCCGATAAGTATTTTCTAGGGTAGGTTCAAGTCCAAAAGACACCTCTCCCGATGCATCTCTTGTCCGCCTGTACTCTCAAATTCTTCCTGATTTTTCATTCATGTGGGGGATGTTGGAAATTATATATTATAGTATAAAATATTGTAATATATAATTTTAATAATTGAATGAAAAATAGTGTCACAGCCCGTCCCGAAATTTCTTTTATCGTGGATGTGAAATGACAGAATTGTCTTTAATGGTTGCTAAGGTACGTGTGACATGTTTATTTGAATATTTCATACTGTCCTAAGTTCTTGGAAAATAAAGGAAGTGGATTAAACTTGTATACAATTTGTGTGGTTAGGGACTTAAGAAATTTGGATTGTGATTTGTTTTGGGTGGACCACACACACACGGGACAAACACACTCACACCGTGCACTCTCTCTCCTCCCTCTCAGTTCTCCCTCCCTTCAAACTTGTATGGACAAGAATCAAAACCCTTCAAAACTTCACGGATCGACGTAAAAAAGGTGAGTTCCTTCATCCTTGCAACCTCCTGAATCGATTGGTACTATTTTTAGAACTGGAAACCCTCGAAATCACGTCGAAACCGTAACCCAGTTTGATGTCACTGTTCATACACATGTGAGATGTTGGTTTTCAGGGAATTCTAAGCCTACAGGGAGCTTAGTGAAGTCCCAAGGAAGCTCGGAGTACTTAGTTTGAAGGTTTTGGACGTCAGGATCGTAGGGTTCGAAGTTGGCCGGTTTTCTTGGATTTTCTCCGGTGAGATTTCG